AATGCACACCAATGAGTACGCACACAGACACACACACAGATAGACCGCATTAGGTTGTGTGTCTTCTGAGTAGTCTTTTCCATTTCTCCAGTGGGGGCAGAAGTGCCTATAAAGTGGCTTTCCACTGAGAGCTTCAAGTTCTTGCTGTCATCAGTTTGCAGTCAGGCCCCTGTAGTTAAAATATCATCAGGTGAATACCTCTTCAATGTGTTTACATTTTAAGTTTCTCTGAGCCAGTGTGTCTGGGACACAGATGGACACTTGTGAAAAGGAGGGGATGTCTAGTACTCTCTAGAATGTAAGACTGATAATTTCATGTGCTGGGAATTTGGATTAATTTATTTTAATTGTGGGGTTGTTTCTTTTTTCCCCAATAAACAGTGGATAACTATAATCAGTAGATTTCAATTGCAATATTACACTGCAATTCTAAAACAACTGAACTAATCAGTGTGAGTGATGATGTGATTTTGCTTCTGTTTCCAGTTTGTGTAACACTATGGGAGCTGGCAAAATATGTGTGAAGTATGTATGTTATGAAAACCCTGCCAGGGCTACCTTACATAAAGCTAATTCTTTTCTTTTCTGAAATGATTAAACCCACTGAAGTTTGATGTTTTCTGGCAACAAACTCTGTGTGATTATTATTTGACCCACATACTTAACGAAACATTCCCCTAAGTGCCAGATACCAGTACTGCGTAGCGTGGCTCATAAACATCGATCTCTTTTTATGCTTCTTCTTAATACCCGCCAGTACTTAGCCACAGTGCATTAGCCAAACTACTCAAATAAGACACAAAGAGGCTACAGGAAAATATGCAAAGTCTACATAAATAGCTATGGCTTAGCCAATGTCTTTAGCCCATTTGAAGGTAATGAGGGGCAGAGAGGTGTGAGTTTTATCCCCTTGGCATTTGCGCTTCAAGGTGAACCATTAATAGTTAAGTAAACCGGTAAGCCTTCCTCTGCAGAATAATTACACAGTCCCATCTCCTTCATTACCTATACTCAGTTCCACTTCACACCTCCAAAGCTCCACTGTTAGATGACTCATTGAGGGTGTGCACAAACATACATGTACGCACACAAGATTTTGTACAGAGACACACCAACCGGCAACAAATTAGGGTGTTAAAAACGATGACTAAATTGGTTATCTTGAACAGATCTCAGTGAATTATGTTTTCATTCCACCAGTAAACGGAGGTCTCTTGAACGCAACGCAACCGTATTACATGTTTTATGTGATATTAGAGTCAAGCTGACCCTCCGCATCCTCACAGTCTTTATTAGAAACCATAACAGCACTCTCAAATGAGGATCATGTAACCAGTAAGCATTCGTCAATCCAGAATATAGTGCAGCCATCAGCATCAATCAACATGCACGATAAACATCTAGCATCCTGTAATGGGACAATGGGGCTGGGTATACTCTAAAAAAGATCATTATTGTGTTTAATCATAATGTGGTATTACAGTATATGGATGGCCTCAGTGAAGACTCATTGCCCTCTGTTATCAGTTTCATCCTCTGGCAGAAGCCAAGGCTCAATCAATCTTAACGGCATTGGATGATTTCGTGGCGGGATGGATGGGAACATGCAGGATCACTGTTACCTCACTAGACCCATCTGCTGTGCTGCTGGATGGCATCAGCTCAGAATGGATGAAGCGAAAAGTGCTACTATAACAGGAGACAAGGGAGAGAGTCTGTAAATACTGTTCATCATGCAATGAGCTGTGCATGTGTGGTGAGAGCAGGGCCTGTGAGGTAAAATATCAGAAATTCACACATGAAAACACAGAATGATAGACACAGAACAAAGACACACACTGAGATTCATATATTCTAGATTGATTTCATCACACAGGCTGGTGTGACACAGTGCTGTTGCCTAAAGCTAACTCCTGTATCTTTCTCAAACACCAAGGGAAATCAGCGGGGGCCGGCAGAGCTGTGGGTGCCACCGAGGAACTGATGCAGGGTGAAAAGCCCAGATGGAGCCAGAGAACACAGACAGGGTAAAAAACAAAGGGTAAATGTGATGCTACTATGTGTTTGAGTCTAGTGTGTGTTGTGTGTGCACACAATATGTATGAGTGTATCTGCATAAGTGTAAGTCATGGGCGTTTCATTTTAATTTATTCGCCTTTTTACAAAGGATATTTCAAAACCTGAAATGGGTTTTATATTAATCAGACTTACTCAAGAGACTGAAAAAGACCAAGAGCTGACTTATTCTATTCTCAGGAGGGAATAAGATCAAAGGAAGTTCAAAGAGGAATCATCGTACCCCTTACCAATGCTGTAGAGCTACACGATGATGAATTACAAGCACATATTAATGAGAAGCTGAATGCAATGCAGAGATAAGTGCAGATGAGGAGATAAGCGTACATGAAAATGTTTGAGAGAAAATCACAAGGTGAGGGTGCAAAAGAGAGGAAAAGAAGCAGAAGAGAACAGAAGAAGGAAACCACCAAAGTAGAAACTTCCATCACTGAACAGTGGATTCACCTGCAGCTTTTTTCAGCTGGCACATTGTATTTGTATTTACTACAGAATGTGGCTATGATGATGTATTTGTGAAGCACTGTTGAATTGTGGCAACAGTAATAATTGCATGTTATAGATAATACAAGCTGTATATTAGGGGGGTTATTTTTAAGAACACAAAATATGACAAAAAGAAGCAGACATTTTTACAAATAGGCCATCAATAGTTCACTGCAGAATAACGAAACCACGTCTGAATCAAAGTCGATTAATTTGTCTTCACAAAAAAGTCTGCCAATCAGTACACTTCAGTGACAGCATTTAGGAATATTTCTGCACAGTCAAGGCCCTAAAAACCAATTTTCTCAGTTAGCTAAGGGCATGGATGACTTTCAAGGTAAGGACATAAAATGTTTAATTTATAAGTAAAATACAGTATTGAACTTAGTTATCTGTAGTTCAAAACTGAGTCTAATCATGTGGAGTACATAATGTTATTACTTAAGCTCCCAAGGTTCGTTTGAAACTGCATGGTCATTAAAGAGACCAAGTAAGATGAGCTATGATTTAATGTGTTAATCAGAGGAAATAATGCTTGCTTAGAGAACAAAAGAAGATTGAATGCTGTTTTCATCACAATTCACTGCTGATGAATAAGACCTATTTAAGAAAACAGCAACAGAAGCAGCATGAGTTTTCATTCTTTTTTCTTTGTACAGCCACTTATTCCCACTTGCATCTTGAATTTCAGCTCCAATTGTATGCAGTCATGCCTATTAAGTATTAGTCACAGAGTTGTGAAAGTGGTGCTGGTATACTGGTGAAGCAGCTTTCAGCAGCGAGGCTGTCTATCTGACTGAAAGGCATTGTACTCTACCTGTCTACGCTGTTTGCCTGACAAATGTTACCACTGAACTACTCTCTGCTGCTTGGACGCTGGCCTGTCTGTTTGTTTCTGTCTTTTGTTAAACTGTCACTGATCAGCGATCTGATTTTCTTCAGATAAAATGACTGGAAGCTCGCTCTTGAAAATGGCTGTCTTCTGCAGTAATGCTCTGTAAATCTTCCATTTAGTACTTTATATGCATTAATATGCAATAATACAATGTAGATATTTTTGGTTAAAATGTAGATAAAACAATTATTTGATTTTTATTTTCTCCACTTTACATCAGAGACTTCAGTCGTTTTACTATGAGAGCGACTCATAACAGTGTGTGTAATGAGAGACTGCAAGCAAACTGAAAAGTAAGTGATTCCTGAACACACTTCGCATATAAATCTAATGGATTATACACCGGACTCAGATAAGTCCAACACAAGAAATTACTGTGAACACTGTTTTGGGAAAACAATTTACAAACTCTGTAAAATAGCTAGACAGGAAATGTAGTCAAATAAACTTCTCTACTGAGTCAAAAATGTTGTCTCTTCACTAACAGTTGAATTCATCCCTGCATGTACATCTTTTTCACACTGTGACCAGATAAATTTCAACTTAATTATAGTTTTAATATTTTTCATGTCCAACATAATTGTTGTGGCTGCGATACATAGAAAAGCGCTATACAAGGATAAGACCATTTACCATGAGAATCTTTATTTACAGCTCCCAGAAGTGAAGTAGCATTTGTTGTGACAATAGTTTAATCATTGTAAAACTTACTGAAATAAACTAA